CTCAGGACTTGCCTTCATCAGAAAAGCCCAACTTCTGAATCAAAGAGTTAATATTGCAGAAAAAGCAGCATTGTTATTAACTAAACCTGGAAACTGCAGTAAACATGAGAACTGGCAGTTCTCAGGGTATGCAAAAGGCTTTGTTCATATCCAAACTCCAAATCTCACGTGACAAACGCTGGAAGAATATAAATGTTAAAATGTTCACTTCCAAATAAAGTTCTCCAGTCTTGTCTAACTGAAACTGCTACAATTTTCCATCAAAATGTTGTCAGAACTGCTACACCCTTACAAAATATTTGATTCATTAACATCAATTTTTATTTTTCTTTTTTTTTCCTGCTGGAAAACCTGGATCCACTCCCTGAGCAAGCAGAGCCCTACAGAGTTTTAGGAGCTTAAAATAACCCACCTTGTGTCTGTGCACTCTCCATGAAGTACACAGACCTCCCGTGGCACAGGACAATCCTTTCAGAGGGAAGATCTTCAAGGCACAGCAAGAACTTTAAAGGTGCCTTCCAACCCAAAATATTCTGGGATGATCACACCAGACCTGGGTGTTGATTCCCTTCCCACAGCCAAGAGGGACACTGAGAGTCTACTCTCCAGGCTTCACAATTTCCCAAGGGTAAAAGGGATTTCTTATCCTCTGCTTCGAACATAATGGGAAATTTGAGTTGAGAGAGGAGGTCAGAAGGTGGTGTCACCATGGGGAGGGAGCACACCATGAAAGGTGCTTTCCATTCATGCAAACTGGAGATAACAATGAACAAACCCTCTTGCAACATCCTGGGATGCAGAATCACGGAATCATGGAATCACTAGGGCTGGAAAAGACCTCTAAGACCATTAAGTCCAACCATCAGCCCAGCACAACTGAACCATGTCCTCAAATACCACAAGCATATGTTTTTTAAACGCTTCTAGGGATGGTGACTCCACCACTTCCCTGGGCAGCCTGTTCCAATGCTTGACAAACCTCTACATGAAGAAATTTTTCCTAATATCCAATCTAAACCTCCCCTGGCACAATATGAGGCCATTTCCTCTCGTATCACAGATCTCCTCATTGTGGGCACTCCCTTGCCTTGCCAATGCATACCCACGTTTGTTCTGCTACAACACACCCCACAAAACTGTCCAGGTGCCCTACAACCCTCCCAGGTCATGGTTTGCCTGTCAGTAAACACTGACAGAGAGGTGAGATGTTCCAAAAATTTACCACAGACACAACAAACTGCAGCCCTACAAGTTGCTGCCACCAGCAGCTCTCAAGCTTTGCTAACACCAGAAAGGAGAGCAGAGCTCGTTCTGATCAGCCTTGTCTCTGCAGACAAGGGAGTAAGGAGGGGGAGAGAGAGTAGAGAGATATTTGTGTAGACTTACTACAGTCCTAAGTGCTGCACGAATCATAAAATCACAGAACAGTTTGGGTTGGAAGGGACCTTAAAGATCATTTCATTCCAACCCTCCTGCCATGGACAGAGACACCTTCCACCAGGTTGCTCAAAGCACCATCCAACCTGGCCTTGAACCACAATCCAACCTGGCCTTGAACCAGGCTTTAAAGCTTGACTGACTTTATAAAGGCCAATCCTAAGCAGGTGGGCAGCAGAGACATCACCAAACTCAAACGAGACAACCAAAGAGTGAAAGTCTCTCCTGCCCATCCTCAGGCTCCTCCTCTGCTTCCTTCCCACCTCCAAAAATCACCAAGAAATATTGAGAAAACACCACCACAAGCCTGCCATGCAGTTCTGCAGTTTGCTTTTGCCCTCATTCCCTGTTAGCACTGCTATTATGCAGGTGTAGCACCACAGCATGTCAATGCCATTCCCCTCCCAGGCTGGGCAGAGTATAAAACTAAACGAAAAGACAGTCCCAAAATGCTTGTCTGTGATCCTTAATTTAAGAGGTTTTAATCTTTCATGATGGTCAAACAGCAGTTGTGCCAAACCAGTGCAAGAGGCTGCCTCTGGAAATAGCAGGGTCCAAGGGAAATCAAACACAAGCCTGAACTCCAGCTTTTGAGCTGGATCTGAACAGCTCCATCAGGGCTTGGGGATGTCTGCCTCCCAAATTGATTCAAAACACAGAATTTTCAGCCTCTAGCTTCACTGAAATCAAGGAAAACTGCTTTCTTTCCCTGCCACATGAGCAACTCTCAAGTCCCAGTGCAGGGAAACTGTCCTTGGCAAGTCCAAATCAGCAGCAACAGTCATCCCAAAATCCTCTCATAGCCTTTTTTTTTTCCCTCCCTGCAAAGAAGCTGTGCCCATACCAGGGTTACAAATATTTCAAACTGCCAGGGCCAAAGACTCCAGAAGGGAGATTTATAGCAATAAATAATATTAATGACCCAGGCGGACGGAGCTTCTTGTCCTGAGAGCTCCAAAGGCACATGAAAAACGGCACCATAAATGTCACCACCGCAGACACCAACGATGACGAGATGCCACCTCTGGGGACGGGAGGCAACGTGGGCTTGTTCAGAATGAGATTTGGTGAGGAAACCAAGGAAATGAGGACCTGGACGAGCACGGTCCTGCCAGCTCACAGGGCAGGAGATGGGTCCCAGCTGGTTCACCTGAGCTCAGCCTGGATGATGCTCCACAGCATCATCAAACCCGTGGCTTTGCTTAGCAGGGGAGACTCAGGAGACACCCAAGCCCCAGTTTTCCCCCAAACACGGCCAAAGGCCTCATCCCGATGCTCAGGAGGCTGGGAAAAAATGAGTTGTGAAAACATAACCTAGCCAGTGGAGTTGGAAAGAGGACGAAAGAAGTAATTTTAGGCCTAAACCCCAAAGGAGGAGCTGCGAGTTTAGTTGCAGATATAATAAAACATGCCTGGGGGAAGGAACCTGCATCCTCCCGCAGACAAGCCCACTCTCAGATGCAAAAATTCTTACACCAACCCTGTGTTATCCAGATAACACTCCAAACACCTGGAGCTGAGGGAGCAGCAGTGTCTGGCCATGTCAAATTAACCATTTTGTCCCCAGGCTGCTTAGTTAAATAATACCAAGCACTATGTGAACATAAACCCTCCACCAGAGAAACTTCTGCTTCAGCCAAGGCAAAGATTCCCTTTGCTTTTCCCACACTGCCTGATCCTCTGCCCAGAAGATGGATCAGCAGCTCAGCTGCACATCTGGGCTCGCTTCACTCCAGGCTTTGCCTCAGAAGCATTCCTGCAGCAGAAATCCCAATTTATTTTCTCCAGCCATGCAATCTCCCTAAACTTTGTCAGGACACCTTGGAGTCCTTCCCATGCAGGACAAGGCTCAGTCATCCATCACCATGGGGGTCATCACAAATTCTGGAGCCAGACACTTGAGTTGTTGTAGTTTGGGATGAAGGGGGAAGCCTTGGTGCTGGCAGGACACAGCCCTGCAAGCTCCCAGGGCAGGGGATGTCTCCCACCTGGCCCACCTGAGCTCACCCTGTCCACCTCCAGCAGGCTGGATCCCATTCCTGGAGAGCACCAGCCCAGCAGGCTGGTTCACAGTGCCCACTTGGTTCATAGTGGGAAGACAAGGAAACAAAGACCCATAGAAGAATACGTGTGCAGAGATGCCAATGTCAAAGCAACCAGCCCATTCCAGACCCCTTCCAAGCAGGAACACACTCTCTGTCTTACCTCTGAGCATCCTTCAACCAGAGCATCTGTACCAAGACCAGAAACTTGGTGCCTCTCTCAACAGGCCCCCAAAAGTGGCTCCACCTGACACTCCAGAGCCCATTTCAGAGCCTTGTGGTGGCTGGGCCTCCACGGGCCCGGGCAAACACAATCAACACTGTGTCTTTAAAACCACTTCAGTGCAGATGTTGTTTCCATGGTAACTAGTGGACCAAATACATTAGTGTTTCTAATAATAAACCAAACCTTCATCTTGGAAAATGTGATCCCCCCTCTCCTTTACCACCCTCACCCTTCCTTTCTTCTTTTCCCCTCCCCTTTTGCTGAATTAAGCCAGCATTTAACAAGCAAGCCATAATTAGTAAATAATTGCAAGGGCCCAGTAACTCCCAGTGCCCAGGCAGATGGAGAAGCTTTAGGTGGAGGGAGGGGGGCTTTGCTCCATGAACCTGGGAACTGTCCAAAAAAAGGACGAACTACTCAAAAAAAAAATAAAAAAAAATAAAAAGCACAAGGTGGAAGAGAGGACCCTGTGTAGCCTCTTTTGGCCACCCCAGTGTCGCCTTTAGTGCCCTGGCACCCTCCCCGCGCTCTGACTCAGGGTGCAGCCGCCCAGCGATAATTTCTAGGAATCTCGCACTTTTTTTTTTTCCGGAGGCTCCGTCCGAGACGCGGCACCGGCTCCGCGTCCCCGACAGCGGCCAAAAACTTCACAACTCCTCCCCTTCCACGCTCCCCTCATTGCAGAGCGGGGACCCCCCCACACACACACACGCACACCCCAAAACTAAGCGGGGCGGCGGGAAGGACCCCGAGGCGGGGAGGGAGACACGAGGGAGCTGCGGCGGGGAGGGAGGCGGAGCGGGGCGATCCCACACACCCCCCCCAAAAAAATAAGACACGTGCGAAGATGCCGTGCGTGGGGGAGCCCACGGGAGCGAACGCGCCTGCGGGGGCCGGTCGCTCCCCACATTTAGCGGGATCCACGTCCAAAGGCACAGCACGGGGATGGAGGGATGGCTGGGAGGACGGGGGGGACGGGGGGAGCGCAGCGCGGCATCACCCCCGATGTGTCTGTGTGTGTGTGTCCCCGAAGCTGCGCTCAGGGTCGGGGGGAAGGGGAGAGGAAGGACGGCGGGGAGGGGAGGGGGAGGGCGATGCGAAGCCTCCCGCCGTGTCGCCACGGTGCCGGTGACCCCGGACTGCAGCAGCGCTCGGGGCTCGTCCCCGCCGCCGCTCCGCGGTACCCGGGGATGCTCCGCTGCATCCCGGTCGCTTCCCGCTTCCCTTTTCCCTGTCCCCCCGCGTGTCCCCCCCGCCTCCCCCATGCCCTCCGCTCCTCCCTCGGCGGGACTCACCATGTCGGGGCTGAGCTGGGCTAAGATGGCGAAGGCGGAGAGCCGGTCACACAGACACTTGGTCCGGGAGGCGTCGAGCGGGACCGTTCGGCAGCCGCGCCAGGACCAGGCGCCGGGCGGGGAGGCGGAGGCGGAGGCTCTGCTGGAGGGAGGAGAGGAGAGCAGGGAAGGAGGGAGGGACGGGGCGGTGGAGCGGGGAGAGGGGGAGAGAGCGGCCGTCAGGGCGGGCGGGGAGCGGGCACCGCGCCGCGGGGGGATGGGGGGAGACCGCCCCCCCGCCCCGGCCACCCCCACCCCACCGACCCCCATCCCACCGACCCCACACCGGACCTGCAGCTCTAGTCCTGCACCTGGTCCTGGTCTGACCCCTCCATCACTGCTCACCCATGTCAATGTCCCCCTCCTCGACCTCCGGGCTGGCCTGTCTCACTGTCCCCATATACACCTCCCCAACCCTATAGCCCTGCCCTACATATCCCATATACACCTCCCCAACACTATAGCCCTGCCCCACATATCCCATAGACACCCCTTTACCCCTATAACCCTGTCCCACTTATCCTACATATACCTTAACCCTATAACCCTTTCCCACATACCCCATATATACCTCCCTGACCCTATAGCCCTT